GGAAACCGGACCTGGATAACAATTACTTACCAAGCTAAATCTGTATAATGGAGTGAGTTTTATTAATATAACTAAGACACAGTTAGTGAGAATCAATGGTAAGCCTTACTGTTTGTTAAATATATGTTTTATTTTCCCACAATTATTATATTTTAAATGTTTTTACGGTTAATCCTTAAAATAAGTCTTAAATATGCCTACAATTTAATTAATCTGCATTTAATGAACACTAATTTAGTAATAAAATAAAAAATGTGATTAATAAATAAATAAAAAGATTAATTTTCAAATTTGTTTTATTTTATGAAAATTTAAAAATGTGTATTTAATACATGTAATGAATATAATATAAATAAATGTGTATTAAAATTTTAAAAAGACGGATAACTGAAGTTAATCGAGACATACGCTGTTCTAGTTAATGTCAATTAATATAATATTATTTAGTAATGTATTATAGTAAAATACTTGAGTTCACAGTTTGTTTGCCCGGTAACATTCATGGTTTCAGCATGGTGCCTCTCATATGAGGTTTTGTGTAATTCTTTATATTGATTGGTAATGCATTCAAAAATTCACTCCAAAGCATATACGATATTAACTTTTTTCTTTAACTTTTGAAATGAATATTTAATATTAAGAAAAAGTTATTTTCCATTTATTCGTATTGTAGGCGTATTATTATCATTAATTTCTTTTTACTCATAAATATAATGATTATTATTGATTAAATGATTAATTGGTTTTGAATTAAAATTTTTGAATAACATGCAAAACATTGAGTTGTCATAGTAATTGTGAATTTACTTGAAGCCGTAATAACGCTTACTAACACATCAGTATATTTAACTGTTATTTGAAAACAAATTTATAATTATAAAACATGCCTAATATACTTGCGTTAATCCGTACACCAATCATGAGAAGGATTAAAAGGAGATTAGCCCTACTCAAACATGTAATCATCAACAAGGTAATTGCATACACTGAAGCAAATGGATCGTTTAGTCAGCAATTATATAAAATCGAGTTCTACATAAAATATACCACCTGTACACTATCCGACTCAATTGATAATTTAATGAGCGGTTATTATTCGATCGGTAGATTAAGCATGGTAATCATCGGGCAATTAACTTTAATGTTAACTCTATTATGGTGTATTTCATTTACTTTCATTGATGACCAAGGTATTCGTTCGTTGCTATTCCCACTTGAGTCTTATTTAGGTGATAGATACTTAACTGGCACAATGTTAACAACGGTCCTTGTATTGATCATATTGGTTCAATGGTGTGTGTATTATCATCAGCGTAATAATATTTTATACGTGGCCAATGTATTTTATTATTTAAAATATGGCATGCTTAAATACCCATTAAATGCTAATACGGAGAAGTTATTTGCCGCTAAATTGAGCATCATATTTTTCATTATTATCAAGGGATACACCATTTTATCTATCATACTTATCATCGGTACTGCGAGTCTATTATTTATCTTTGTAGTTAATAATTTTACCATGTTAAACGTGGTGATTATTTTAACATCATACATTATCGTACTATATTATGTATACCAATTAATCAGCACTGTTATCATTTATTCATTTGCAATCGCTACATCGACGGACTATATCCGGTGTAAGTTTATCGAGATCAACGATATAATTAACCTTGCTATTAAGCATAATAACAAACGGCTACTATATGTCGCTTTTCGACAACATAATTATTACGAGGTATGGGTTCGTAAAATAAACGTCACATTCAGCTTGGCATTTTTCTTTCTTATTAACCTTGGATCATTTGCAGGCTTATTATTGATATATGGGGTACACAAAAATAACGCCACTATTATGAGTCGTTTTGTTAACGCCACTGCTGTTTGCACTAATTGTGCGTTACTTTTTGTGTCATTTACCCTGCTTACATTACTGCCAAAAGCGGCCCATAAACCATACAAACAGTTGCTATCATACCTGTCCGGAAGGGCTAAGCTATCTCTGAGCGATAGGCTACGGTTGGAGACGTTTATGGAGCGCCTGTCCGTCGGACCCCAAATCGGTTTCTATTGTTTGGATTTGTTTCCCATAAATAGCTACGAATTTTTCCAATTGTTGTATATTGCCCTGGGCAATTATATTCTCATTATTTCTAACTTGTAAATCTAATCGCATGATGATTATTTACATAATACTGTATATGTTTGGTGTTGCTATAATAATGATAATATAATTATTTTATTGTCAATTCTTAAATTATGGCTTACATTACGACTACAAGTTATTTAATCCCATTTAATGAACCCCAATTTATTAATAAAATTTAAAATGTTATATTAATATATAAATAGATTTTTTTCTAAATTTATTTTTAAAATATGTATTTAATATATGTAATCAATGTGATTTAAACAAATAGGTGTATTAAAATTAAAAATTATTGCGCAAAAATTTACTAAAAATAAGTGGATAGATAAGTGGATAACTAGTTGACTAATTTTGCTAATTATCAGAAATTAGTTGTACTTGTCGTATAGGATTGCTATCTAATGGCGTTGACTTCCGGTCTACGAACGCGGTAGCGTGGTGTAGCGGTTAGAGTGTCGCACTAACAATAGCTAAGTTAAGGTTAATCAATAGGAGGTGTATAGGGGCACATGAGATCGCGCCCCAAGCGGGAAAAAATTATTTTTTATTAAAAGTTTGTTAAAAAGTTGAAGTACTTTATATACTATTTTCCTTCATTGACTCACTTATTATAGGCATATCTCTGGTCCCATAATTGCCATTCATTTGCACCGAAACATCAGTCTTATCAACAGATCTCCTATTCTTGTGTCCACACAATTGGATCCAAATTATGGCCACAAATAAGATCACCAGAAAAACTCCGATACAAACGCCTAGTATTGCTAAACATTGACTCAGATATTTAGGTTCTTCCGGTGGAGGACAATGGAATAGCGGCTTCAGGTGACTGTCCATACAATGGTCGACAATAGGGGTTTGATACGGGAGTACACAATACCGGTGCCCATCACTGATATTGAACACCAGTATATGACCCGACTGTCCATCCATGTTATAATCGGTGATACTTTCAATGCGTGTCCAAAGCTTTTGCGGCAAATGTCTGAGAAATACCGGCCCATCCCTTCCCGACTCGGAAAACACTTCTCTATAGTGTATATAAAATGTGGATATATTGAGGACTCCCTCCCTGTCCACAATCGACACGTGATGGTTGTCATCAAAGGGGTTGGGGTCGAAGATCAGTGAGTTTGGCTTGAATTGAGACTTTGTGTCGTTTATAGTCCGCCAACCCTTCAGTGAACAAAGAGTCCTAATTTTGGTGGACTTCGGGCTCTGGTAGGTAACGGTGCACTTGTATGCAGCGACTGGATACATATATGAGGGCACCGGTAGACCAAACATTAGTAGGATATCTGGGTTTTTATCACTGATTGTGGTGTCGTAATGAATGGTGTGTTCACTGGAATTGATCCAAAACTTGCATTCTTTAGTCATCGTATACATTGTTAACTGATAGGTATATCTGCTTCCGGAGGCTGACCGCTGATTATAGACACGAATCTCTTGGGAACTGTTGAGTGACTTAATGTGCGAACAAATGTCTTCGCATTGAATGCTATGAAGACTTAGAAGAATGACCACAATTATGGCAAACATTGTCTTAAATAATACACTTTTATACATCTTATAGTAATAAATATTTGACTATTAATAGTAACTTATAATTGTTTTGCAATACAATTATTTTAATATTTCAATGCCAATTGAATAATACAAATGAATTATACATTTGTAATACAATAAATAAATATTAGCTTAATCTACTACAGTTTAGTTTAGTAAAGTCTACTACTATTAGTAACTAAACTGCAATTTAGCTGATCATGTATTATTATAAAATGATTCATTTACTAACAAGTATAAATATTTAGCATACCATATTTAACTTATTACTTTTAATACAATTCAATGAATAAAAGGTTTAATTTTTGTAATTATAATTTATAATCCTTTAACATAAGCAGAATACTGATCAATAATTACTACACTAATTGCATTTCATTATAAATTCATAACTAGTTTTCATTTAAGTGATACCGAAATGGCATAAAAACAAAACACTAATCTTTGATTTGAAAAAATATATAAACTTTTATTATTGTAATAATTATCATATTTTAAAAATACATTTTGTGAATGATTTGCGAATCATTGGATAGAATATAATCTTTTAATAACTTTTTATATAATATATAAAATTATACGAAAAATACTTGAATATCTGCTTATAAACCCACTAATTATCAAGGTGCTTGCGAATACAATGTATATTTCAGTTCACTACTAATCACTACTTGATAATAGCGGGTATTCACTACTAATATAAAACAGATACAATCGGCGTTTGTGTGTATAAAGTGTATAACAAATATAAAAACAATTTCATTATATTTGATATAATCGTGAATATAAAATACTCGTATAAATTGATTGCCAAAAAACATGCAATTTTTGTCTCAAACAAAGTGTGAGTGAAAAAAGTACTTAAAGTCACAGAAAGTTATAAAAAATTATTTACAAAAATTTATATTATGTTTGGAAAAAAAGTATTATCAAAATATTATATAAAAATATTAAATGTAGTATTATTTTAATACTAAAATCATTTCTCAAAAGTTTATCGAAAAAATACTCATATATTTAGTCTTAAAATACATTTTAAGTGTTTTCTATCGTAAGACACTATAAATTGAGCGCAAGTTTTGTCGTTGTTTTCGTACGTATAGTAAAAAAGCAAACTATAAATTAAATTACAAAAAAAACTTAATTTTAAAGCATTACTACTAAAAAAGTAATACTAAAAAAATATTTAAATAATTAAACGAATAGTGATTTGCGAATGAAAATAATGAATAGATTTTTCAAATCTACTGAATTTGATATAAGTTTATAACTAAATGTTTTATATATATGGCGAGTGTTTGGACGGGTATGATATCTGCAGACACCGGCGCTTAACCACTCGCGTGGACTGGACGGACACGAGTGGCCTCAAGACCTTTGAGATCATACGCACGGAGGTGTGTCCGACACACACACCCAACGCACCAATACATGCATACAATTGAGTGATTTATAACACCATACGATTGGCCATTGCTTTATCCAACCTCTTGCTCACGGCGTTTGCCATGAGCTCCAGGTCGGCCGCCACCGCCTGTTTGAGTAGATCCGTGTCCACGGGCGGGAGGGGCTCATTGACTGGGTTTGTGGTGATCAGGTGCGACTCATTGATGCCTAGTTTACGCTTTTTGTTGGGTTTGTGCCGGTGTTTGCCGGTGTGGCGCCGTTTGGTCACCATTGGCGGCGCTTTGAACACTCCGGCGCTCATGTCCGTCGTGTCCATGGCTTTGGAAGCGCTGGTAGTTTTAGTCTTAGACTTCTTGTGCTTCGGCGGTTCCATTATCTTGTAGTACAGACAGAGGGGACCGTTCTGTGGGAATGTATGTATTTGTAATTATCGGTTAAAAGTAATTTCAATAAAACTTTTTAATTGAAAAGTTTTTATAAGTCTCTCTCTCTCTCTCTCTCACACACACTCACTCACACGCTCACACACACACACACACACAATAGTACAGTAATATAGTATTGCAATATTCAGTAAAAAATAAGCAAATAAAGTCTAGACTTAAAAAAATAAAATACAGGTATTTGTTAAATAATATTTCTCATAGAAAACAATAGTATTGTCATTGAATGCAAAATGTTATATAAATAGTAAATTACTGATCAATTCATTCAACTCTTTGTTATATAATAATAAACGGATGTTTGTCTCAAATATAAAACTATGAGAAAAAACAAACAAAAACAACAAAATAGAGTAATCATTAGTCTATTGACCAAAAAATGGCAATAACTTTAAGACTAATAAAAACCGAAACCTCAATCATACAACACTTTGAAATGAGTGGACAGTTAGCCAAAACACAGACAATAAGTAGAGTGAACAATGAGTGGACAGTTACCCGTCTCCAGGAGTAAATGTAGGCCAAGTCGATCATCGTATAGTCGTCCAGAAGGGGGTCGTGTTTGTAGAGAACCTCGATATCGTTGTGGTCTTTGAGGTCGTACTTGAGTTTCAACCACTTCTTGAGGTGCAGTACACGCATACCTCCCTCGCACTTCAGGTACCGGCGCTGACTATCATCGCCAGAGCTACCACTACCACCACTAGTGGTGCCGCCATTGGCAGCACTGTCAGCGCTACCATTAGGAACTACTTCGGGGACTTTCAGGCAATTCAGGGCACCGTTACTTAGATTCATGGAAAAAGGTTGCAGTGAATGCGAGATATACTGCGGGAAGTACTCGACGGACAGGTAGATGTGGTCTTCCGGGGTGAATATGAGCCGTTCCCCTGACATCTCACCCTTTTCCTCGTTGGACAGACGCACCGTTTCTGTGAATTAATGCATAAAACAATTAAAATCAGTCAAAATTGCTGTAAAACGAGTGAAAAAGTGATTATCAATTGATAGACAACTCATACCACTGTCGGTCTCTTTAGAGTAGAACTCTTTACGTCTCGTCATCTCATCTGAAGAATACAAATGACAGGAAAATTAAGTTTTAACTCATAATTGCTGTCAAGACTTACTTTTATAGAGTCCGGGCACCAGTTTGTAGATAATGTCCTGAAGGGTGGGATCACTTCTAATGAAGAGTTTAGGCTTAGTTCTGTGGATCTGTGAGTCGCATCGGGGACACAACCGCGACTTCGGTGTATTGGACTCCAAGTGATTTATAATACATGTCTTGCAAACTGCGGAACCAATTAAGAAAATTTTTACAATCAAATCAATTGATCTCATCATCAAAACACGTGTCAAGACAATAACGAATACATACATGAGTGGAGACACTCGATGACAGTCGTGGCGTCAATCAGATATCCTTTGCATAGAAAGCATTGAATCAATTCATTGAACTCTTTGACGACAATAGGCTCGCGGGGTCTCAGCAACAACTCGTGAGCTTTCGCGTGACTTTTAACCACACCATTGGCTACTACTTTAGGGACACCGACACCAGCTGTTCCCGTGGCGTTTGGCTTATGGGAGGGGACGGCCGTCTTATTGGCAATCGGATTGCCATTTGTGGCCAATCTATTGTTGCCCACTATCTTATGGCACGTATTGGCGGTGATGTCAATGGGTTTGTGGGCAGTGATGGCGGACATTGTGCTGATTAATTTACTCGTGGCGTATGCGTGTTGTACATTATGCCTGGGCTTATTGGGCTTATTCTTGAGGTTGAGTTTAGGCTTAGTTTTGTTGATCTGTTGATCACATCGGGGACAGTACCTCGACTTCGGTGTATTGGACTCCAAGTGTTTGATTAGACATGACTTGCAAACTGTGGACACAAACAGATAATAAATTATTTACAACTTAATTGATAAATAGATTATATTTAGTCTATAATCTAAAACTTAAAAAACTAAATAAAAACTAAATTTTCGAGTAATTAATAGTAATTTAATTGATCCCATAATCAAACCACATATTATGGCAGACATTGAGTACATACACGAGTGGTCGCAGTCTATGATGATCGTCGGGTTAACCAGATATCCGTTGCATAGAAAGCACTTCAGCCTATCATTGAGCTCTTTGTTACCAATAGACTCGCGGTGTCTCATCAGCAGCTCATGACTTGTGACCACACCATTGGCAACCAGTTTGGCACCGACAGCATCAGCAGCTGTTCCCGTGGTATTTGGCTTATAGGAGGGAACAGTAGTCATGTTGACCATCGGTGGCACACCATTAGTAACCAGTCGATTGCCGGTCACTGTCTTATGGGAAGCACTGACAGTGAGGTCAACAGGTTTGTGAGCGTTGGTGGCGGCGGTTGTGGTGATAGTCTTAGAGTGGATGCTGGTGTCACCCATTGTGGTGACTGGCGTTACGTACACAATGTCCCGGTGCGTGGGTTTAGGTTTTGGTTTGTTTGGCTTACGCTTAGCTAAGCTCTCATTAGTCTTAAGCACACCATTGGTCACGAGTTTAGCGCCGACAGCGCCGGTAGTTGTTGTTGAAGTAGTGTTGGGTTTATAGGAGGGGACAGTTGTCTTATTGACAACCGGTGCGAAACTATTGCTGACTGGACTCGAGTGGTTCTTAACCACACCATTGGCCACCAGTTTAGCGCCGACACCAACAGCACCAGCAGTTCCCGTGTTATTTGGCTTAAGCGATGGGACAGTAGTCTTATTAACACTATTATCATTGGCTACTGTTTTATGGCTCGTATTGGCGGTGAGATCCATGGGTTTGTGAGCACTGGTGTTGTTATTGGTGGCAGTGATGGCAGCGGTGTTGTCACCCATACAACTCATGTCGATATTAGACTTCATATCATTTGGTTGCCTCTCATTAGCCTTCGAGTGGGTCTTAACCACACCATTGGCCACCACTTTAGGGACACCAACAGCACCAGCAGCTCCGGACGGGACGGCAGTCTCATTGACAACGGGATTGCCATTTGTGGCCAATCTATTGTCGGCCACTGTCTCACGGCATGTATCGGCGGTGTTGTCAATGGGCTTGTGGGCAGTGGTGGCAGCGGTTCCAGTGGTGGTGGTGTTGGATGTGTCGGACATAGTGTCGATTCTTGTCAACAAAGCTCTTATGCTTAGCGTCTCTCTCTCTCTCACTCTCTCTCACTCTCACTCACTCACTCACTCACTCACTCTCACCACAAGAGGTGACCACGAAATGAGTGATACAACGGCCTCGAGATACGACCAGTGGTTGAGTGAGACATAGCGTACGGTTGAGTGTGAAGTGCAACCAAACACTGTGTGAAACCTACGGCACAAAAGTGCTGTCAATTCAAAACAGCACACAAAAGGTGGTGTGCGCCACACCAGTTAATGTTACCAGGGACAATTGGACCGCTAATACATCGTGTTCATTCATTATTTATGCATGAATAAATAGTGCCAAGCGAACTGAATTTTAATTATTATAGATAACTAATTAAATGTATGTATTTTGTGGTTTAATTTCATTGGTAACATTAACTGGTGGCATACACTGCACCTATAATACATTGTGCCTGACTATTGGTAAACAATAAATAGTTGGACATAAATAACGTCTCGTAAATTTTTTTTGGTGCCTTACATATTGCAAGGGGTTTGTCATTGAAATACATGTATTCACTCATTGAAGGGGACAATATTTGTGTGAATAATAAGTGACGTTTTGTATGTAAGTAATTACACTATTGAAACACATTTACAGTTTTGCATAAGATTTGTATGATTTATACGGAATATTCTGTGAACAGCATTGAAATTATTTGATGTTTTAATTTAATTTTGATTTTCTTGTTATTATTACTACAGTAGTTATAATTGTCATTGATAAGTTACTAGCTAATTATAATAATTTCTATCTCATTGCTCATAAAATAATGTGCAGTATAAGTAAAAACATAAAATAAAAAAAGTTTTTATTGAAAAGTTATTTTACTGTAAACTAAATATCAGTAGATTTGTCATAATTTGTCTCATTTTTGACAGGTTTGTCATCAATTGAGTGCTTATTTCTTATGGTTTGAGTGGTTAGGGAGGACTTGGAGGTTGGATCGTATTTAGCCACTTGTGGTTTCAGTGCATCCAATGAGTCTATCAATTGAATACATGTTTAGTATAATATTTATAATTAGTTTTAATTAAATCAAAATTCATAATAAAAACTAAGATTTGAATACTTTTTTGAGTGAATATACAAATTACAAGAATCACACAAATAATGACTATAAATACGATTGCAATCCAAGCCAAAAGTCCAGAATATTCTGTGGATTCTGGAAAACAGTGCAATAAATAGCGTTTCCATTGACACTAAATGTATGGTTTGTTTCACAATATATTTTTAGTAAAGTATAGGAAGTGTTTGAATGTATGGTTTGTATGAATACCTTATCGTATGAGTGGTTCTCAGGAATGAAGCAAAAGTAGGGCCGACTGTCTCTGTTGGCCAACAAGAGGTGACCCCTATTTGATCCGTTGGTGTCGTATATGAGGATCGCATCAATGGTATGGAGTTGTGATTGAAAGGCATTTTGTTCAACAAATAAAGGGAAAGGTATTTGTTGTCCACATTTATGCCAATCTTGGATGAGATTCAAACTGTTTTTACTAAAAATATAACACATTTTGTCTTTGGTTTGTCTGTCGATAATAAGCAGTGAATTGAAGGGCGATTACACGTGAAAATAATTCTGGCAAAACTTTAATAAGTTTTTTGTTATGAGTCGTAGACAATTAGATTTCAAAGACAATTTTTTATAAAATTTAATTAATTGGACAAGAACTACATTAAATAGACGTATAAAATACTTTTTACCGATTTTGTCTACGACTCATAACAAAAAACTTATTAAAGTTTTGCCAGAAATTATTTTCACGTGTACGACCTTATAATAAAAAAACCGACTATACGACAAATATGTTGGTTAAGGGATATGCATCCTCCTTTAGAATTATTCTTTAATTTTATTAAATAAACAATTATTTATTTGAATTCCTAATGTTTGAATTGGTCAGAAAAATAATTTAAATTGTTAAAATCTATTGAGAATTAAGAAAATAAAGCACCTATTTTAACTTTTTAAAATCCCCCTAGCGGCTAAACCCTACGATGAAAGTTGCTAATTTTTACATATATTATATATTTTAATGTNTGGTCAGAAAAATAATTTAAATTGTTAAAATCTATTGAGAATTAAGAAAATAAAGCACCTATTTTAACTTTTTAAAATCCCCCTAGCGGCTAAACCCTACGATGAAAGTTGCTAATTTTTACATATATTATATATTTTAATGTTCTCTACAAGATTAGCTAATAAAATTGACCGGGCGAGCTGGTTAATTAACCCATAGACCGAGAAACATTCTCCTTTATCTAACAAAAGTCTCTAATAATTCATAACAATTATTGTTAATTTTGAGTTTCCTGATAAGTTGTCACAAAATATAAAATAAACATTTCATAAATTTAAGACCCAGAACATATGTTATGCAATTACTTTGAATTGTTTGTTTCAGATTAATTTAACTATATTAGTGTATTATTCAAACTGTATGGATAGCCAATGAAATGAAGGTTTAATAAAGTGAATCTATAAAAATCTTATCAGTATAGGTTATCTAGAAAAACATTCAAATCATCTTAGTTTGGTGAATTATAAACTTACGAAATGAAAAAATTTATATTATTTAGTCAATGTAAAGAATGGAGGTTTTAACAAGTTTTAATCAAGAGAATTTCAATGTTTTCAAAGTGAATGTACACAGTGTATAGTGTATACTGGTAGATTTAAGCGGTATAGATTGAGTTTATAAACCTTTATTCCATTGGCTATACATACAGTCTGAATAATACACTAATATAGTTAAATTAACCTGAAACAAACAATTCAAAGTAATTGCATACTATTCAAACAGCAAAGTAATTGCGACAGCTGCATTATTTATAAAACTAACCCACATCATCTATTTAACTAAAACTATTTATTATATATATCGCAAACCCAAAGTCATAGTATAGTACAAAGTGTTACATTTAGAGATACATTAATCGTAAAAATATTTAGTTATTACACCGATTGCAAAACTATTGTAATATTAAAATATGCTGTCTCAAACAATCATTGCCCTATTTATGACTTTCATAGCTAATACCGGTGCTAATGGAGATGCGGATCAACCGTTTCAGTTCGCCGAGTGTATGGACACACATAACCTAACCTCCATTGTGGACAAGAATCGGCACCTGTGGCTAAAAGTAGGTGAGGACTTACGCCAAGGATTTGAGCGACTCGCAAATGAGCCAGATAATTTTGCATTTGCTGTTCGTACTGATCTGGCTGACCTATTGGATGGCATTGGCACCATGGTCATCGACTCGGCTAAACATCAAACGTCTGAAACTCCGTATGACTTGCGGTTCGACCAGAAAGCGTTACTATATATCAATTTGGCCAAGTTCATACGTGTATTATTTCAGTTTGTACCTGGTGCTCAACAGGGGCATCACATTGGTGATTTGGCCAAATTTGCTACCGCGTTTTCAACCCTGATGAACTTGGTAAAAGACAATATTAATGAGTCCACTCAGCCGGGTATGCAGTTTTGCGGCAGTCAATGGGATGATGACGTGGAAAGGGAGGCTATCCGGGCAATAAAAATTCACTTAGATCTAGGTCAGCCCTTGTTAAATGAGATTTTAAATAAATTGCTAGGTGAATGGACCAGGGTGTTTGCAGCAATGAGAGCCATAAATAGTGTGTATGATTAACTATTAAGTTACTGAAAATATCTGTATTACTAAATAGAATTTTTGAAAATAATTATTTTGGATTGTCAAAAATTATACAAATGAATGCCACCTACATATTTAATATTTAAAAAAATTATTAAATTCTAATGATATAGATATCTAAATGAATCATGTTACTTATGAAAACTTTAAATTAATAATAAAACTGTCAAAATATAATTTTTAGTTTAAATATGAATGCTCATTAATGACATTATAAAAGTTATTATAGATTTTTAAATATTTATTAATAAACCTTTATTAAAATAAGTTTATTTTTGGGTTCCCATTAATTTGATTTGATCTAACATGCGTCCCTAATCAATATTAACAAGCATTGCTAATATTGCTAATTTTGAGTTTCTTGATAAGTGATCACATTCTAGGAAATATACATTTAATAAATGTAAGTGTAATGCAATTACTATGAATTATTTCAAGTAAAACCTAGGGTATTATTCCAGGTACTTCTGAGCTGCTTTACTTACAACACAATTGAAGCTAAATATTTAATTTTCTATTTTTGTAACTATTGTTTATTGAAATATGTTAATTATTGTGCTAGTTACATAATTATTATTGACAATTATAGTAATTTATTTAAACATTTA